GGTCCATGTCAGTCTGTGAGAACTAATTTGTACTCCCTTATCTCTTGGATATTGTACTTCCTAATTATTTTTTTATTCTGACTTTGTTAGGTATTTGGTGAAACTGGAATGTGACAGTTTAGAACTTGAATTATCAAACACCCAGACCCACATTCTATGTTTTTTGCTTCCCTTTCCAGTTCCTGTTTGTTTCTTGGATACATGTTCTTATATTTAATGGTTTCCATAAAAAGTAGAAATGTTTAGTGGCAGCTGCTGTATTTAAAGGGATGGTTCAGATAATATTACAGTCATATGAAAAAGTTTGGGCACCCTTGTTAATTTTCCTGATTTACCTTTATAAATCATTGTTTGGATTAAAAATATCAGTTAAATATATCATATAGGGGACAAACACAGTAATATTTGAGAAGTGAAATGAAGTTTATATGATTTACAGAAAGTGTACAATAATTGTTTGAATAAAATTAGGCAGGTGCATAAATTTGGGCAGCATTTTCATTTAATTGATTTCAAAACCTTTAGAACTAATTATTGGAACTCAGATTTGGTTTGGTAAGTTCAGTGACCTTGACCTCCATACACAMGTGACTCCAATTATAAGAGAGGGTAGGGAGGCAATAGTAAGTTTTTCTCCTCTTTGCATCTTCTCTGAAGAGTGGCAGCATGGGASTCTSAAAACAAKTTTCAAATGATCTGAAAACAAAGATTGTTCACCGTCATGGTTTAGGGGAAGGATACAGAAAGCTATCTCAGAGATTTCAGCTTTCAGTCTCGTCTGTGAGAAACATTGTGAGAAAATAGAAGACCACAGGCACAGTTCAAGTCAAGGATCAAAGTGTCAGACCAAGACAAATCTCCAATAAACAGAAGTGAAGGATGTTGAGAACAGTCAGAGTCAACCCACAGACCAGCACCAAAGACCTACAACATCATCTTGCTGCTGATGGAGTCACTGTGCATCACACTTTACACAAGGAGATGCTGTATGTGAGAGTGATGCAGAGGAAGCCTTTTCTCTGCCCACATCACAAACAGAGCTGCTTGAGGTATGCTAAAGCACATTTGGACAAGCCAGCTTCATTTTGGAATAAGGTGCTGTGGACTGATGAAACTAAAATAGTTATTTGGTCAGAACAAGGGCCGTTATGCATGGAGGAAAAATAACACAGCACTCCAAGAAAAACACCTGCTACCTACAGTGAAATGTGGTGGTAGTTCCATCATGCTGTGGGGCTGTGTGGCCAGTACAGGGACTGGGAATCTTGTTAAAGTTGAGGGACGCATGGATTCCAACCAATATCAGCAGATTCTGGAGACCAYTGTCCAGGAATCAGWGACAAAGCTGAAGCTGCTGAAGCCGGGGCTGCTTCTTCCAACAAGACAACGACCCTAAACACTGCTCAACATCTAGTAAGACATTCATGCAGAGGAACAAGTACAACGTTCTGGAATGACCATCTCAGTCCTCAGATCTGAATATTATTGAAAATCTGTGGTGCCACTTAAAGAGAGCTGTCCATTCTCAGAAACCATCAAACTTGAATGAACTAGAGATGTTTTGTAAAGAAGAATGATCTAAAATACCTTCAGCCACAYTCCAGACTCTCATTAGAAGCTATAGGAAGCGTTTAGAGGCTGTTATTTCTGTGAAAGGAGGAGCTACTAAATATTGAGGTAAGGTTTTTTATGGTGCCCAAATTTATGCACCTGCCTAGTTTTGTTTAAACAATTATTGCACACTTTCTGTAAATCATATAAACTTCATTTCACTTCTCAAATATCACTGCATTTGTCCCCTATATGATATATTTAACTGATATTTTTAATCCAAACAATCAATGATTTATAAAGGTAAATCAGAAAAATTAACAAGGGTGCCCAAACATTTTCATATGACTGTATCTTACCTGTTGTGGATAGATCTTTAAATGACCTCATTATGAACATATTTTTTCTGACCAAATAATAAGCTAACTAATCTGAGCAGGAAGRACAACCAAAATGTATGTAAAATAACTTCAGCCAGATTGAGCTTGATGTCTGTGTGTCTTTTGGGACTAAATGTCATAAATAAGGCTTCACACTGTGGGAGTTTAAACAGCATTTTTTGGGATTTTCTTTAACTCTGTAAGCTACACTACATTATCAGTACTAGTCGTTTAGTAAATCTTTGTTAAAAACAAATTACACTGTCAGATTAATGTAACATGGTAACCAATTGTTTTAGAGCTTATTGAGTCTCAAAGTTCAGTTTTGGGGAAATGTTGGAATCTTGTGTTTTTCGTAACAGAGTTTTCTGCTTGCATCCAGGTACCCAGTTTGTGTGAGGACCTCCTRTCCTCTGTGGACCAGCCCCTGAAGATCGCCCGGGACAAGGTGGTGGGAAAAGACTACCTGCTCTGTGATTATAACAGAGATGGCGACTCCTACAGGTTGAGTGTATAAGGCTAATTATTACAGCTTCATTGAGAGAAGACATGAAAAACACAATTCGTAAATTTGACTGGCGATAKTGAGAGCAGGGTTTTTAGCTTTAAATCAGATAGCAGGTGTATAGATTCCACGTTTGTTTAGACCTTTCTTAACAGTGRTTTTTATTTTATTGTTCGTTAGATCCCCGTGGAGTAATAAATACGAACCTCCTATTGAAGATGGTGCGATGCCGTCGGCTCGCTTGAGGAAACTGGAAGTTGAAGCCAACAACGCCTTCGATCAGTACAGAGACCTGTAAGTAACCGCAGGGCAAACCACAAGGAGATGGCTTTGAACCATCGACCCGGACCTGTCATGACTTTTGAAACTCGTGATCTTCAGGTACTTTGAGGGCGGCGTCTCCTCCGTGTACCTCTGGGACTTGGATCACGGCTTTGCAGGAGTTATTCTCATTAAAAAGGCCGGGGATGGCTCCAAGAAGATAAAGGGATGCTGGGACTCTATTCATGTGGTGGAAGTTCAGGTGAGCGGAGATTTTCAGATGATTTCAACTTCTCCCTTCTTTCTTAAATATTGTTTTTAATCTGAGTTTATTCATCATCACGACGGAATTGCAAGAAAACAATTTAACCAGAATGCAAACCTGCAAAAGCTTTGACTTAAATGTTGCAAAACATTAAAGAAATGCAAAACTTTTGGAATAAACTTTAATTTTATTACTGTGTATTCATAACAATTTAACTGTTWACATAATTTAACTGTAGAATTTTTAATCTATAATTTTTTTAATTTGTTTCAGTGTGGTCTATATTCAGTCGTGGCAACAATACCTTAGACCTGATCCAAGTATTTAATTGCACCTGGATCAATCCTACCACTAGTTTCTGTCTCAGCTCAAGTCTTATTTACCTGCTGTAATAGGGGGGAAAGTGACTTATTGTTTGGAAACGAGCCTAACAAATACATCAGATTTTTTAAAAAAAGTTTGTGAAGTTGTTTTTATAAAATATAAACCTCAAAAGACTAGAGCTGTTTATATAACAATAATGTTACATCTGTAAAATTTCCATAAGATGTAAATTTCTCCTCAGCCTCTGACATGAAGATTAGGAAGAATTCAGATTCTGTGAAAACATCTGGGAGTTGATTATAATGCAAATCAAGTCGGCACATTGTCACCAGTTCATTTTAGTCCTGCCAAGTCTGGTTTTAAAGTAAAGTCCTAAATGTGTTCAAATCTAAAATCTGACACTGAGAACGTCCAGTGATTGTAGTCATTTAAATAAAGGGTTTATGTTTTGGTTTGTATTTCCAGGAGAAGTCCAGCGGTCGCACTGCTCACTATAAACTCACCTCCACCGTCATGCTGTGGCTTCAGACAAACAAGACCGGCTCTGGTACCATGAACCTTGGGGGCAGCCTCACAAGACAGGTGGGGTGCTGCTCTAAACAGGAGTATTTGATGATGATGATGATGATGGAGATGATGGTAATCTGTAAAGAGCTCAACACACGGGAGGCGACGTCGCTCGCTCTCCATTCATTTCCTATGGAGCCTGTGCGGTGAYGCGACAATCGCTTGCCCTCCTCCAGCTAAGCGACCGGCYAAAATAGTYCATGTGAAATTTCGCGCTCGTACACGTAGACGTGCACACGCGAGCTTACGACGCGACATATGAAAGTTGAAAAATGTTCAACTTTTGTCGCTGTCGCTTAGCGTACAACCAATCAGCGAGGTTTTTTTTTGACTGACCAATGAGAGGAGAGTATGCTACACACTGCAGTTAGCTAACACTTCCACCAAGTGATTACTAAAAAGCTTTGTGGGAATTTGTTGGCACCAGGGTGAAGTTTATGGTAAGTTTTTCCTCATAAACTGTATCTTGATGTGTGTTTGTTTTTCAATATCATTAGCATTGCAAGAGTTGTTTAGTTTACACGTCCGTAATGCACACCCACCTTCAGAGTCAAGAACCAATCAAATTTTGTGAAGACAAGCGATCTGAGAGCGCAATTCGCAATGCTGCGATCGCTATCGTGTCCTGTGTGTCGGGTTTCACCCTGGCTGCGATGACAGCCGTTAATCGCTGTAGTTTGTCGCTCCCCGTGTGTCGAGCCCTTAAGTCAGACTGCATCTTCACCTTTTCACAGATGGAGAAAGACGAGACGGTTGGAGAATCCTCACCTCACATCGCCAACATCGGACGCCTTGTTGAAGTCAGTATAGCTTAGACCGCTGAGTCCTGAAGTCAGAACCACTTTGTGGGTCATGAAAAGACAGGGACACTATCTGTGTGTTGTTGACTTGTACATTCAAGGTAATAAAGGATAAAAAAAAACAGACTTATAATTGTTCCTGTCTTGATTCAGGACATGGAGAACAAGATTCGCTCCACACTGAATGAAATCTACTTTGGGAAAACCAAGGACATTGTAAACGGTCTAAGGTACGACTGCATCAACTTCCTGTTACTTTTACTGTTTCCTGTCAGCAGCTTTGTTCTCCTAACAGAAACTGTTTACATTTGAGTTGCTATACATCTTATTCATTTACCTCTTTTGTCTGAATACTTTTGAAGGTACCTTTTCCCCGTTTCACTACTCCCATCCCTCATCCCAACTTTTACCTTCAAGCTTTCTTTTATTTTTTAAACACAAAAAAAACCACACATTTCTGCTGCCATTCATGTGCTCATTTCTCTCCCTCATGAATTCTCTCCTGCTGCTTCTCCTCTCTGCTCCAGATCTATTGAGTCTTTGCCCGATAATCAAAAGTACCGGCAGCTCCAGAGGGAGCTGTCGCAGGTCCTCACTCYGCGTCAAATCTTCATTGATTAGGGTCAGAGGTACACCCAAGTGTTTGTGTGTGGATGCACTTGTTTGTCAGTGTTTCTAACTTGACCCCTACGAAAGAAGAAAGATATTTCAGGAAGTGATATCACTAAAACAATGAAGAAAAGTATTATTTATAGAGGCATGTTGTGTAGAGCTGTTGCTCGTGTTGGAGGAGGAATCTTCTTATCTATAAACCTGACTTGTGTTTGTGTATAATGTGCATGCTGGTCGTTGAGTATTGAGCAGCTCTGTTTACCTGCAGTCTAACAGATGATAACACACTAACCGTGTTGATACATTTAAATGAGCCACTCCACATTGAGTTTCTGTTTGTCCCCTAATAAGGTTTTAGAAGAAAGTACATTTGTAAGTGAAACATCAAGAGTTTTATGTGCAAATGTTGAAGACTTTTATTAAATGAAAGTGAACAATTAATACATTTATGTTGAGGATTTTTACAGACTGGCAGCATGATGTTCAGTTTCACATGTGTGCAGTTGGTTTGTTAATTATTGTGAGGACGATTTTTTCACATTTTTCTCTCAACAGAGTGAATATAAGTAACACGCATTGATTTCTGTTTTTTTTTCCACACTCTGAGTCAGAGTTCTGATTTTTTTTTTTTTTTTAAAGTGGGATTCTGTGGAAAGGTTGTGAACAATTAATATCTTACCTGCTCTAGATGGTTCTGTGGGGAAAAACCTCAGTTTGGAGAAAGACTCATTCGCCATTCACCATAGAGGTGATGGTGCAGTTTGAACACCACTTGAATATGATGTACTTGATAATTATGAACAAAGCAGGGGTCGACATAACCATAGTCTAGGTTGTCCGAGACGACCTATTTTCATTTGGGACAACCAGATCCCGCCTCCCGCTTGTCCAGTGGACAACCAAGAAAAAGAGACCTGGATGAAAGTTTTCCTTCGCAGGTGTTCGTCACTGTAAAAACGAACAGGAGAAAAAAACTTGTTAAAGCCGTCTAGGGATTAAACTGATGGTTATTTCACCCAATAATATACATGTTTCTAAAAGCACCTCGCAGCATTTCCACCGTAACACCGTGTGTTCACAGCACAACAAAACCGRGACAGGTCAGCTGACTGTTTTTAAAGTGAGAGCTGAGAAGCAGTTTGACCACAGCTGCACCTCTCCACGCACAGCTCTGACCAGCCCGGGACTTAGAGTCCATAGAAATCAACCCTTCAGATGATTACTTGTATAATGAGCATCAAAAATCCACAATTGTTGCAAAAAATCCTTATTAATCACAT